AAAAATTGGATTTACATTCTAAAAATACATATCTCCAATTATGAAGTCTACTGCCATTTTTGAAAGTAGTGGTTGTTTTTCAAACAGTTGAATCACCATTTTATTGTGTTTTATTTTGTATTTGATTTTTGATTTTTTATGTATTTTTTTTATGTAGATCAGATTTTAATACATATTTGTATTATATGTTTCCTTTTCAAACATATTCGTTTATGAGCTACAGGATGCAGATACAAAGTAAGTTACTTTTCTTAAGTGAAAGATTCTGTCACTCTCAAACGAGTGGCTTTAGAGAAAGAATGTCAAGAATAAAAGCTTGTTAAAATGCATTATTATTTAAAAAATAACCATAAAATACAGGATCTTCTATAAGATAGTTAGACGCCATGTTGGAAATGGAAGCATTTTAATAAAAGTGGAATTTATAATGTTTAATGTTATATAAATGTTTTGAAGTTATTTTCTTTAAATATAATAGTTTCTCAGATAGCAAAAGGGGCATGGTTAATCCCCCTACTAGTTCATCCGGTACAATGTTAACAAAATGTAAATTAACTAGAAGCACGATTCAATGTCAATTCCATAATCATAATTAAATAAAAAGAGTACTGCATGTATTGCGAGCCAGAATGGTAATTTTTCTCGTCTTAGCTATTTCAGTAATTATAACCTAAAATAAAAAAAACTATTAAGAGCTAGAACCAATAGTTGAAAATAGCGTTTTATAAGGAATATAAACACATTTGAAGTTTCCAGTGAGTTTCAAAAAACCTACTTAGGTATTTAAAACAGTCTGGGCACTTTCAAGAATTAACTATACGTTTGTACATAAAAAAAGTTTTATTTAATATTATTGCATATTGGATTTTATATTTTTGTCATGTTTTTATTTATGATTACGTTAAAAATCGAACTAAGATTAAAATGTGTACCAGCATTCCATGCTTTAAGTTGACATAAACAATCATTAGGAGTTTTTTAGAGACAATTCAAATGTTTGTGTTTCCAAAGCAAACTTTTCTAGTAAACACAATCACTACAGCTAAGATTAATTGAAGCGAAAATGAGGACCGTAGTCGAAACCATTGTTGTGGCATGCTAGTTAGTCATTCACAAAATCACCGGGCTCCACTGGCGCTAGTCAGTGCACACCTTTGAATAATAATGCGTCATTTTCATAATCAAACATGACCACCTATCTGCCTTGTAAATCAATTGTTGACACATTGCCATTGTACTTAAATTGCAGGTATGTTGATCCTGCGTAGACTAGCGCAATTGAATGTCTCTGTGTTTAAATATGTTAAAAATATACTGATAAATATTTACAACTAATTTTGTGGTGATAATTAATAGAATTTAAGTTTTAATATTAGTATTGGCTCATTTTTTCGGATTTGGAATTAAAATTAAATTATGGTATACATTTAAGGAAATCTTTGATCATACATATCACACCCAAAATCGGTGATAATATTCGTCTGTGTTAGTTTAAATATTACTATTGGGGTCAGTAATGGTCTCCCTGGTTTCATTGGTTAAATAAAGTCATCTAATATAGTTAGTGATGAATTGTTATTACCTTTCTTTACATCCTAGGAAGCTGAGTTCTATTCAGAATTGTTAAATGCGTTACTTTAAGTTTGACTACTTGTTTTAAGGAGGACACAGCACTTTTGCATAGCTAAAAGCTATAATAAAGAATAGGTTATTACATTTGATATTGTAAAGACAGATTTTGGAAAGTAGCCTAGCTCTTGTAAATTGATTCATATAACCCTTTTATACTTTGGTGTGAATAATTTCAAAAACTAAAATAACGAATAATTAGATTTTAGTTAGGGTAGTTTTTTCTGAGGGCAAGTCTTTATTTCTACTCTTTTATTTCATATGCAAAACAAATTTAAAAATATATTCCTTAATATAGTAAAACTATTATGGAGTAAGGTATTAAAATAAAGCAAACAAATAAAGCAAAACTAGTCAGTAACTTGTGATCAAACAATCCCAGTTTGTAAACACATAATATATGTTTACAGTATATATTTTTTTATTGAAGTATTACGATATATTAATCGTTCGTTTACTCAAAAATCGAACAACAACTGAAGGTAGAGTGCACAAACGTTTCATCTAAATATTTTACCCGATAACAGTAAAAACATGAGATAAAGAGCAAATATTCAAGTATTTTCCTACTCGCTCTCTCCTCCGTGCTATTTTTAGCACAGTCTCGTCGCTTGGCACGATTGTTAGGGTCAGGCATCGCGGTCGCCCTCCCTAGTGGAGAATATTTAAAATATTGTATTTTGTAAAATATTAAGGTATGTCATCTCATGTTTCCTGCTGTAAAATTCTAGCTGATCGCAGTTTCATTTTGATGTAGTTGAGAAAAGTTAAGACGATTTACATGCACTGTTAACTACATAATTTACAAAAATAATAATTTTGTGAAAAGTCTCGGTTCATCGCTACACTACAAATGCAGATACTCAAAAATTTATTTTTCAGAATAGAATAAATTTTTCTCTTGTATAGGGTTATGTGATCTTTATAGATTTTAGTTTTTTTTTATAATCACTAATATGTTTAGTGCTAGTGTCACACTAGGTCTTCTAACAAAACTATTAATTCATCATCGATGTATATAGGCCTATTGGTTTATTGCTAAAAAGTTGTCATAGTGTTCTCAGCATAAAATGTCATCTATCATTAAATTTTATCGCGTAAAAATCTATCTATCCAGATTATTTGAATGGCTTTAATATGATTAAGTTGCAGTAAAAAGCAAAGATTTTAGAAGTTATTGTTTGTATTGATTCACAAAACAGCCATTACTAACATTTCTTGCATTTGCAAAACAATACAAACATTACGTGTTTGAGGTTTATATAATTTAGACTTTACTTTAAATATTTATTTATCACATTAGAGCAAGTTATCTTACGGTGCTACAGGTTAAACATAATTTAACTCCAATACACATAATCCACTAATATTATCCTAATGAAAAAATGCCTTTAACTGCTCATTAACACGTTAACAAAACTTAATAAGTGCCCTGGATATGTTTTTATAATAATAAGCGGGGATGAACATTGATATAAGCAAACAAATTAGGACACATGTGTGCCATTTTAAACAGTTTCTAATTTATCTTGTAATGAAATTCCACAATTGAACTAATTAGGTTTGTTTTAGCTTTCGAAACAATATGAGGGTAAAGTTATCCAGTTTCTGGTGCTCGGCTTGGTGTGAAATTGAAATGGATCCGAACAAAAAACAAGTTGTTGGAGGAACTTTTTAGTTGAGACCAATTTATATGTCAGTTTCCACTGTGTAATTTAACCATTTCACAATCCCACTCTACGAATTTTTGTTACGGTTTTTGTTTGAGTCTACGAATTCAATGAGTGTTTTTTTGTAATTTGTTATTTCTTATTACTTTTTGTTGTTTTGAAGTCTTGCAGAGATGTATATTTTAAGTTATTATAAAAAGTTGTTTCTTATGTAGACGTGTTCTTCATGAAAGCTCATAGTGGATTAATTGATGAAAATTGGTCATATATGGTTATATGAAAATACGAATGTGGAAAATCGTTTATTAAGTATAAACTACAGTTTACGAAATACATACAGCCCTTACAGGTAGTGATGCCATAAATGTCTCAGACAAATAACTTTAATTAATTAGATATCTTTATTACGTAAACTTATGTACTATACCAACATAATTAATTTTTTACTCTTTTAATTGTATTCCAATCAAAACTATTGATAGAGGCTTGGTTGTAATTTTATCTGTTTTAAATGTTATAATATAGTTCTTCAACTTTCTATGCATTTAAAACGTAACTCATCATAGCTAACCTTTTAAATTTATTTTGCTGGGTAAAAATAGCAGCACCACCATTCTTTAAATGTTATAAAATTCATGAACTTTGCTTTATATTTCCTTCTTATCGTAGTACTTTTCAATCGTTTTATACGTTTAAGTTCTATAAAAATTACCTTTTGAAAGGTGTCACACGCTGAAATAGGTATATAGCTAATATGTGTTATTTTTACCCTTCACACTCTGCTACTTGCTAAGCACACGATGAAGACGAAATTTATGTGCATTTCTTCTGTAATTAAGTTTGTATGTACAAGATATCGGAACGAATTAAGTAAAAAACGAACTATAACATGTATAATCATGAGTTTTTATTAACTCTGATATATTTTATTTCAACATTGATGCTCATATGACGATCCTCCTTCACCCTGTGAGTTAGTGTATTGGTCGTTGAAACATGCCTCATTCACAAACACGAATCTTAGCTGACAGTTGTTCTTTTAAATAATACTGATGAGAGGCTGATACGTTTATTTTTTACACTTAACCTTAAAGAGGTTTACAGTTTTCCTATAGAATCATCACAAATTGATTGGTTGGATGAATCTCGGTAACCATTTACATAATCTTTTATTTTTAAAATAAATCAAGTATCTTATGTCTTACTTTATACTTTAAATATATATTATCCAAGATTAAGTGAAACTTTTCGTGTTAAATGTGTCAGAAACACAAGGCTCAACCACAATTAAAACTTTATCGTTCTTATTTTGAAAAGTAGCATGTAAACAAATTGTTCAAGCTATGATGAAGTAAGTATACAGCTTACGTAGATATATGGAGGTGTTGGATATCTAGGTGCTGGATTAAAATTAGATTTCAAATCTTATAATACTTAATCTCTTGATTTTAATATGTCTTTGGAATTCATTTATCCGGTGGGTGTGAGCTCGGATTCCGAGGTCCTGGGTTTAAATCCCACCAATCCCCAATGAATTTAATCAATGTGATAATACCTCGACCCTGTAGGAATAGCCTAAAGTAATGTTTTAAACAGTTCCAGGCTAGAACTTAGTGGTACGCGTCGTAGATTTATCCTAGGATATTAAGATGAAATCCATAATTTCAAGGTGGGAAAAATAATGTTTACTGCTACACTTACCTCTCAAAGGCGCGTAAATATTGAGATACAAGCAGTCCTCGCTCTGGTTGCTCAGGTTGTAGCGTACTCTGTCCATATAACCCCACCGTCCCGTGGGCATAGTGGTGTCCGGCCTAGGTGGAAAAGTTTGAGGACAAACTGGACCAAAGGTATCAGCCACCCTGGTTCCCATCCAGGACGGAGGTGAGGCTGGTGGCATGAACCTTCCGGTGCCTACAGGAGCCGCTGCGTAGGGGATGCCAAGATAGACTTCCACCGGGTCTAGGTTCCTGAGGGTGCGGATAGTCCCTTGGAGTAGCCCTTGACGTGTCTCGACGATCCGGGGGCTTGGGTACGGGTGATAGTCGTAGCAGAAGCAGACCAGAGGAATGAAACTCAGGTGGAAGAAGTGTAGTATGAACATTTCTGGTGTATATCGAGAAAATATAAGTTTACCTATTGCACTCAGCAACTATGAGATTCGACACAACGCAACGGCATGACAGTTTGTAATATTTTTGATTTTCTTAAGGTTTTTTTTTTACAATTACACGAACACGTAGCACCTTAATAAGGTACCAGTTGTGAAGTATAAGATTTACTATATTAAATATAAAAGGTTACTAGGTTAAATATAAAAATAATAATACAAAAACCTAAACAGCTAGTTCTCTTATGCCCTATAATATCCTTATATACAGTTTGACTCTAAACTATTCTTAGAACTCTTTGTAGTTACATGTCAAAACAATAACTGTAATACTTATGGCGAGACACTCACAATCTAAGCTACTAGAGATCCCGTTCCACCATCGCCATTGGCGATCACACACACATCACTTATCCAACATTTGTTACATATTTGTGGCACACTGACACTAGTACCACTAAACTGAACACAACACAACACCTATCTGCACGCTCGCTCGGATACGCAGACGAGCATTCTGTTCGCGACACCGCGGTCTTGAGGCGACTGAAGACAGAAATAGACACATTTAAAAGTGGAACGAGTGGAGACGTGAGAGTACGAGTGAGTGTGTCTGTGTTAGTGTATGTTATGTTTGTGGTAGTGACTTTATGGCCCTCGAATGGCATGTGTCATGTTCGTTAACTATTTTTTACTATGTAAACATTTCTCTGAAAATACCCATTTCGGCAAAACTAGCTATTTATGACGGATAAAACCAACTGTCAGGGTATCTGGGTAGTTCTCTGCATACAAATGTAAATCATTCGTGTCTAATAGTTTCGGATTGTCAAAAAAGGGTTGATTCTAGTCCTAAATACAACTTTACACTGGATTTTAATTCAATCTAAGGTCCGTTTGATGGTGAACGGCAATTATTTTGACATTCAATAAAAAAAAACGTCAATATGAAAAGAGTTAGACCAATGAATAAAAAAAAGATTCTTAAGCAATTAGAGTTTTAAACTATTTTTTGAACTGGAGTAAATGTTTTTTTTTACTGAATAACTACCATTGGATTTATTTGTATTAAGGGGGGGGGGGGGTTATACAGAAAAGCGTAGTTTTACAATATTCAATTATCAGACTCGACAACTTATTAACCACAGGTTTGCAGAGTTTTGTTCATGTATTATTGTAGAACTGTTAAAATAGCATAGAAATCATGCTTTACAAACATGTCCTCCTCTTATAATGTTCTACTTTTGTTTAAGGCTTTTATGCTTAGGCTAATGCCTAATTTGTTAAGTGAATCGTTCCGTTTCATTTTTGTGTTCTAATATTTGACGACGGTAAACTAATAGTTTTACGTAATGGAAATAACGAGTAGCATATAACGAGACTTGAAGTTTGTTTGTACGCTGTAATTTGTGTCGTTAAAATCTACAAGGAAAACTATTACTAGGAAAAGTTATTACATCCTAAATTAAATTTGACTAATGAAAACTGTTAATTGTGTTTTAGTAAACTGCTAATTAAACTGTGCTACTAAATAATTAATATTTACATTTAACTGTTTTGATGCCGAAGTTGAGTAAAACATTCACATTGATTTATTAAAGTTAGTTCATCATACCCTACGGCACTTAGTTGTGAATGAGTAGACTGTTTAGATTAAACGTTGAGGAGAGAAACGTATTTTTTTTATTTTTACGCAAACATGAGCAAATAAGAGAAGGTTGGTTGTAGAATGAAGTGAAATGCATTACAAAACTGTGTTACTAGCTAAACCCAGCTGATATTTTAAAAGTAAAATAATTGATCAAAAGTCCAATGATGAGGGGAAGAAGTAGAGTTGGGGTACAGTTTCAAACCATTAAAAAGCATTTTACTTTTCTCAGATGAAACTGGCGACCGACTGATAAACAAGCAAGCTTTATTATCTTTCAAATTTCAAGTTGTACATGGGTGTATTCAACAGGGATTAGTTTTTATTAAATATAAAAAAAAAACATTGGTAACAATGATGGTACATCTCAAGAAAACTCAACCTCAAGTGTTAAGTAACACATAAGGTGAATTGTATATGTTATTCAGAAAACATCTGACTTAAAATATCTTAAAGTTAGCATATAAGTCATTGTTTAGGCCGAGTATAAAAATATTTAACTGCACACAGTGATCAACAAATTGAGCCCTATATAATGAAACAAAAACGTTAAATGAAACGAAAGAAAGTTGGAAAAGCAGTTCTTAAAAGGGAAAAGTTTTAGCTTCTCAAGTAAAACGTAAATAATGAAAGATTTCAAGTAAGTATTAATGTAATGGTTTGTCTTTCTAAGAGGAAATCTTGGAGAGATGATTTGCCGGGTGAGTGGCCGAGATTCGGCGGGAGAGTCCACTGTAGCAGTTGGCACCATTGACGGGACTGCGGCCAAATACTGATTACCTTTATTCCCTAACAAGGCTACCAACCTTGTGCCAAAAATAAATACATAATTACTTTGTTTTTCAAAAAAGTTAATGTATTATAAGTGTACTAAAACTATCAAGATTCCTATGGAAAATACTTTTTTTATTGTAGAAAGTATATGTAACAGTCTTTACCTTTTCGAGCAGTTCCAACCCAAATAGTTAACTTAAATAATCACTTGAATATCTTTTAGGTTTAAAATTTTAAGTCAAAATAAGTTGTTAAGAATAATATATTTTAACAGGGTTTACGATAAAAATTACAAATGTAAAACGGAAATACAGCGACCATGTTAAACCAAAACAGCTATTCCTTCCAGGATATTTAATCCTAAAAAATATTGCAATTAAATAAATTGAACTTATTACATCGATAATATAAACAAAAATGTTGCTATTGTGCGCTTACGTTGGTTTTAATGCTATAATAGCATTGGTATCATCAAAAACTCAACTGAATGTTAAACACTGGGCGTTAGATAGGTTTTTAAGGTGGTACATGTGGTAGTGATTTTATTGAATTTATGATGACGTAAGAAATTTAAAGACCTCGACATGATCATATCTATTGATGTCTAAAATACAGATATTTGATAAATAAAATAAATGTTTGTTTATCCATGAAAAAAAATTCAACATCTGTAAATAAGTTTTTTTACTTGACCACATAAAAGTTACATGGTTTTTATTTTACATAGTTTAAAAAAGCAATTAGTTTTTTTTCGTTGAATTACATCCAAAACTATTATCATTTCTCAGTTACCATAGTGTCAAATTTAAGTTGTTGATCCTCTAAAACGTATTATTTTAAGGGGTCATGCAGTAAGAAACATTCTTATTTCACTCTATAGAAGTTTTTTACGAAATGGTAAAAATTTCCGAACGTCAAATACTTAAAATGTCTAGCGTATAAAAAGAACAATGACACAATGAATCTATTCCCGTAGGTAATGGCAAATTTAGCCGTGTATAGAAGCTCTGTATAACTGTATATTTCATCACAATGTCATATGGTTACAATGTAGCCAATGTTGTGTGTGTAACAATGCATAATAATACAATCAATTTCCCCAAGAGTAATTGGTTTCGAACGCAACGTATTGTAAGTAGCAATGAATGCATTTGCCCGTTTGATCACGAATAATGTATGTTAGTCTCAATTAATTTAAAAACACATTTCAACCACATACTCTTAAAGTAATTGTACACTTACTGGAAACTTTATTTTATTAACCTTTGGTTAGGAATAGGGTGGTCTAAACATTTACAAAATGTATTTGTCATTCATTGTACCATTATCGGGTTTGTTTAAATAAGTGGTGAAATCATCCAAATATTATTTGTTGTATAAAAAATTATGTCAATCATTAATGATTAAACGCATTTTTTACGAAGCATAAATAGCCCTCTTCGCCTCTGCGAAAACACTAAAAACAAGCGTCGGGGTTGCCTTGCTCCAGATAGAAAGATTAAAGATGTAATGATATAGGTATACACAGTATAATGATAAAGCCTAAAGTTGACTCGTATCATTTTCGTATGCATTCATCCAGATATACAACTTTGGCTGTCACCATTGCGTTTCATACAAGGATCTTTTGTTCAAAATAAGTTGCATACAAGTTATTTTAAACATTTAAATTTAATATCGAACTTTTAGTACCGCATGTGCAACCACATTCATGAAAGATAAAAGGTAAATCGGTTCGATAAAAACTTAACTCGTGGTCGTTTGAGGCCACAAAATCAATCAAACTTTTGCGCATCAATCTACAAACTTTTCCAATCGCTGTTAAATTCAAGTTATTTAAACCAAGTTTGAATTCAGTTTAGTTCGTTTTGAGAATTGAAACTTGTGATTTGATAACGAAGAAGAATGTAATACATAATTATTTTAATAATTAACAAATTCCAGGGGAAATTTTAAATTCGCAGAACTTTAATGACACATCTTTAACATTTTGTAAGTTTATTCATATTTGAAGATAAAAGTTATGACTCGAATTATAGTTGGCTTAAAAAATACCTATCTTCGTCATTTCAATTAAAAGTATTTAAGTATTCCTTCACATTTCAGGACACTAGGCCCAAACCCCACAGTTTCTTACACAGCTAATGATTAGGGGAGTCGCTACTCAAATTAGTGAAAAATCTTCAAAAATTAAAAACTTTTTTTTGTTCCTAAATTATTATATATATCTTTTTACATCATAAAAACCACCCAAAATCATTTTTACATACATGTACCTAGGACAAAAAAAAATAAGACAAACTGTTGTACGGTGCGACAAAGACAAGTAGGCTAATGTAAACAAAGGCTTATAAAAAGGTATGTGCATATGTTATTCACAACTTAGCCCTAAATAAATTGTAGTTTATAGCTTTTTGCATTCTTATTTGTTTGTTACCATGGCATTGTAAAAAAAAACATTACCAAAAATGGTTTTTATTAAAAAATGCCAATTATTTTGTATAGTAAAACACATCTGCCGGAAAACTTCCGTTTCCCGAAAGTTGTGTTTTTTCATGTTTCAGCCTAAAAA